TAAATATCGATATATGTGTGCATTTTTCAAAAAACCGTAATTATCTCCCAAACTATAAATGTTAGGTATAGGACATATGGGATATAAAAGATGTAAAATGAGACACCGAAGACGACTAAGTAATAAAATATGGGGGGTGCCATTTAAAAAAATGAAGTTATGGTACTTCCAAGTTTCGAAAAGTTAACGTGCCATAGTAATGTGACCAAACGATCTAGACAGCTGTTCTCGGCACCAAAACATACTCCATCATGTTGCTTAAGCATGTTCTGAATCCTAAATTAATAGCCCAAAAATCGAGTGTTATCTGATTTTTTGAACAAATGTCTGCTGGAGCAGATTTTTCTAGAAAAATTCGAATAACTCGAGAACGGCCGAATCAAATTGCAAAAAGTAAACTTATTTATCAACCTTGAAAACAGACAAAGCCAAATATGTAAAAATATACTGGGTGTTCTATTTAAAAAAATAAAGTAGGTGGCGACTTCCGATATAACCGGAAGTGCAAGAAATCTGAAAATATTTTAGTCGAAGAAATCCTAATTGATAATACTTAAGTCTGAATTCTCAAATTTTTATTTTGGCCAGAACCCCAGATACGTCTAATGACCGGTCTCGCTGAGACACCCTGTATACAGGGTGTCCCGTTAAGTGTACGGAGCGGCTGTATCTCTATAACGGTAAGGGCTAGAGGTTTTGGAAAAAAATCCTTATAAGCAAAGTGGGCAAGAGAAATAGCTGGAAATTATTTTGAAGTTCGTAATTCGACCGCTAGGGGGCGTAACTGCCATAGAGAAACATAAAATTCCCGCTATCTTAGAAAGTTAGACGATGAGCTATAACTTTGACAACATCATTTAGTAGCTTGGATAATACCGCATCGCTTTTGTTTTGCGATATTTCTCATATCTGCCATAATAAGGGAGGGGGAGGCCAACGCGTTTTCAAATGTTTACATTTTAATATCTCCTGGACCATTCAGCCGATTTGATTATTTTTGGTCTTGTTTGAAAGAGCATTTTATGCTCTTTTAAAAGATATTTTCAGTAAGACCGCTTGGTTTAAAACAAATAAGCTAGAGGGCGTTATCTGCAGCGGTTACATATTTTTGTGATTTTTGAAAAAAAGTTAAATGGAACGGTACTATTTACTTCACAGACCATTAATCACCATAAAATTTGCTAAATATTAGTGAAAACCGCATCTCGATATCTCCATCCATTCTCGAATTATAAAAGAAAATGTTAAAAATTCGTATATCTTAATCGGATCAAGTTACCTTAGGAAACAAATAAGAGAGAACAAAAATTTTATTACTCCTTCACACTTTATCCAAGCTTCGAACTGCTTCAAAACTACTTTTGAGGCGTGTTGAAAAGCCAACGGATCAATGAAACATCAACAATGATAATAAAACAAAATAAACCAAAACACTTAGAATAACTTAAATTTTTGGCAAAAATAACTCACTAATGTGCTAAATGCCTTCCATAAACCTCGATGCATTTATTTAATCTAGTTTCGACGAAAAAAAAGCGCTGCTTAAGTCTGGGCCTTGGCCACGTTTCTACTGGTATTTAGTGTTTTGTCATATTTTCCCTGGTTATTGGTTTTTCTTGAAAAGTCAGGTCGTTTGGTCTACCCAATAGATAAAGGGGTGAAAGCAATGTGGGTTTTGCTCGAACCAAGAATGCATATTACGCAAGTTTACATCAGCTTGTGGACAGATGCTTCATGCATCCATAGCATTTGTGATAAAAGGTTTGGATTTGCCCAAATCATATTTAAAAGTCAATGGTAATAGTTCAGTCTGTTATCATAATCGGTATCTGTTCAGGCCTGATGTAAAACAACGTGGTGGAGATATTATTCTCTTGAGAAATCTTGTGGACAGTTGTTTTCGGAGTTCCCAAATTGTGTGGGATCACATTGCGCACCAATGTGATTTACGAATTCATAGAGATGTCTGAATGGGCTACACGTTGCCAGTTTTCTGTAATCGCTAAGTCAATCTTAAAAACACTTCTAGAGAAAAATGTCTTTCTTTGTCGTAATTACGAACTTCAAAATAATTTCCAGCTATTTCTCTTGGTCACTTTGCTTATAAGGATTTTTTTCCCAAACCTCTAGGCCTTAACGTTCTAGAGATACAGCCGCTTCGTACGCTTAACGGGACACCCTGTAGATATTTAGAATTAACATAATCTTCAATTGCAAAAGATTAAAATTTATTTCAAGTTTATGCAGTTAAATAATCTTAAGACACACTGTGCATAAGTATAGCATGTTACTTTACATTTTATGATTGTATTGTTATTATATTGTTTATAATTTTTTCAGTCCAATTCTTGGAATAACCCAATATTCTATAGAAGTCTTCGATTCAACAGTTGTACCAATGTGTTTAAGCAAAGGGGACGAAACCCTACCGCTTCTCTATTTTGTCCTATCGATTTCCATCTTTTTCTTCCTCCCATTAGGAATCCTTCTAATGCTTTATGCCCTAATCGCAAAAACCCTCATGGAACATCCAAACATCGTAGCGCCGACAAAGAATAACACCGTACCAACACAAAGCGTACTAAAATATCGAAAACAAGTCATCCTGATGCTGGGAACGGTTGTGTTCGCTTTCTTCGTGTGTTTGCTACCGTTCAGAGCGTTCACCTTATGGATTTTATTATCACCAGCTGAATCTACGATGGATTTAGGACTAGAAGGGTTTTATAACATTTTGTATTTCTGTAGGATTATGTTTCACATTAATTCGGCGATTAATCCGATTTTATACAATTTAATGAGTTCGAAATTTAGAAACGGATTCTTAAGATTATGCGGAATGAGACAGTATGGGGTTAAATATAAAAGTAAAGGTGGAATCGATAGAAAAAATACTTATAATACCACCTCGTCTACGCAACAATCGTCTCAACCGACCTCCGAGTCGTTTTGGAGTCGTTACAGTGGTAGTAAATCTTCATCAAAAAATAATAGTAATACTAAAGATGTTAAAGAATGTAAAGATAGTAATAAAGATGTTATATGTGTTACGGAGATTAATTCGGATATCGCTAAAATTGATGTTGAAAAAAACTACAGGGATTCATATGTTAGACTTTGTTTAAATGCAAAAAAAGGGGAGAGTTTCGTATGAAAAGAATTTTTATAGGGAAGTTTATTAAAACTTGTGAAGTTTTACGTTGGAATGATTTTGAAAAAAATATAATTGTATAAGGGAATCAGTACAACTGATGGTTCAGGTAAATATTTTGAATAATAATTTTATTTACGACCGCTTAAATACAATTTTAATCATAAATATCAAAAAAAATTGTATCGAGGCATATTTATATCAATTATCATTGTTATTATAGTGTGTCCATAAAGTCATGGTGCAATTTTGAGCTTTCTCAAGGAAGCAACAAAGCAAAATGAAAAAACCCGTTTAGTGCACTTCTGGAAGTGAGGAGTTAGGTTGGGTTGAGATAGATTTCGAGATATATCCAAAAATAGTCGTTCAGCAGTCGTAAATAAAATTTTATTAATCACACATAAACTAGATCTATGATCTCATCATTACATTCATAACAATCGTTACTGTAGTCATGCTTTTCTTACATTTATAATGTAAATAACCATGATTGCACTTTTTTAATTGACAATAAAATAAAAAATAATACTCTTGTTATAGAAATATTATATCTATTTAGGATTATTAAACTTAGTTGAGTTTTATAAAGACTGCGATAAAGACTGATTCCGTTGAAAATTGGAAAAACAAAACGTAAAACTTTATAGGTTTTACGATATAGGTGAACTACACACAAGATGTAAAAGGTGTAAAAATAAATAAATTATTTATAATAAGTGTATTCACTGTTAGATAATAAAAAATTATATCAACCAAAAAGACTATGTTGCGTCCATAGATGAATGTTATTGATTTTGCTTCTTCTAAATAGCGTGGAAGAAAAGACAAAAATGAACCATTTGATGTTGCAAATATTCATAACTTAAATGTGAAAGAAAAACATAAAATAAGTAGTTGTGGTAGTACTTATGTTTTGGGTGTTTACTTAACATCTTAATTCACAATAAAACAATAAGAAATAATATATTCCAAACAATATTAACTATAAAGTCTAGTTTTAATAAATGTGATAATTTATCATTTTTAATGATATAATATTTTTATATGTATATATATTTATGTAAAACCTAGTCAACACTTCCATTAGATTTTTATAATAAGTTAAAAAATAACCTTTATTTACTTTTTAGACGAAATAAAAACAATTTTAATTTTACCAATCTCTATTTTTCAATCCAAATTCCTCACGATTTAAAGCGCCATCTATGAACTAATCGTCAAAATTGACATTAATGTCAATTTTTGGCGTTTAATTTTTTTTAGGTTAGTTTTATTTTAATACGTTTCCGATAATTTTATCGTATAATGAACGAAAACAAATCAGTTATCATAAATATAAACCGTTTATGCAGAACTTGTCTCATAGAAAATAAAGATGAAGACCCACAAACTTTATTTGAACACTCTCTGGATGTTATGTTAAAAAACTTGACCGGAATTGAGGTTAGGAATTAAATTAACTCAATCTTAACTACATTTAAAATGATTTAAGGCTACGGAAAACGACGGACTTCCTACATATATTTGCAAACAATGTTTAGTCCAATTGAATTCAGCATATTCGTTTAAAATACAATGTGAAAAATCGGATTTAAATTTAAGAGAAATACAACGAAATGAATCTAAAAAGATTTTAATCATTAATTTAAATACTGAGGAAAATGTCGATAATCTGGAAGAAATTAATGAAGTTGAAAAAATACCAGAAGATGAAATTGATTTAAAATCAAACGAGCTTAAAAAGACAACCTGTCCAGTTTGTTCAAAAGATTTTTCTTTCGTAAAACAATTAAACAATCATTTAAAAAGTCACTCTGAATATAAACCTTATGTTTGTACAGTTTGTTCAAAATCTTTCAATGCAGCAGGAAGTCTTTCAAAACATATGAGAACTCATGGTGGTGAAAGAAAACATCTTTGTATGGAATGTGGGAAACGATTTTATGAACATGGACATTTAGCAGTATTATTTATTAAAACCATGTATTATTATACAAAACAATTTTCTATTTTTAGATTCATATGCGAACTCATTCCGGTGAAAAACCAATCATTTGTAATATTTGTGGAAAATCGTTTGCTGATCCCAGAGGATTAGTTGCTCACACTAAAACTCACACTGGTGAAAAAAATTACGAATGTAATAATTGTGGTAAAACAATTAAATTAATTTAACAATAGCTTTGTTTGTTGGGACTGCTCTACTTGCACTAAGCAGTTTAGTGCAGATGTTGTGTGTTCATTGGGGATAATGATAGCCATGTGCAGTACAAGTTAGTGCAAATTTTGTTGACATTTATCTTAAAAAACCATAAAGTTCGAACTTTCAAGTTTCAATTTTGACATATTTGTCAATTTCATAAAAACTCCTTTAAAATGAGTCCAAACTCGACATATTTAACTTTAATATGAATGCAAATACAATCACTTCCGGTTTGAAACGTCAACGTCAATTTTGACATATTTGTCATCTTCATTAAAAAACCTTTAAAATGAGTCCAAAGATGACGCACTTATCTCAAAAAACAAAAAAGTTAGAATAAAAAACATTAAACCCGAAGTTAGCAACAATTTAATTTTTAAATATTAATACCAACCTTAATTTCTAATTTTTTTTTATTTTGTTTTTGTGACAAATATGAAGACATTTTAAAAAAATTAAGAATATGTCAAAATGACATTGACATTTCAAACCGGAAGTTCTTATATCTCGCGTAATATTGGAATTAAACGTATCATGTTTGGACTCATTTTAAAGGATTTTTCACGACGATTACAAATATGTCAAAATTGACATCCTTAACCGGAAGTTGACCATAACTTCATTAATATTGAAGATAAATATGTCGTGTTTGTACTCATTTTAAAGGATTTTTAATAAAGATTACAAATATGTCAAAATTGAGGTTGGCATTTTAAACCTAAAGTTAGTTATCATATAATAGGAGTTTTATAACTGAAGTTAATCTAGTGTTAGTCACTTTTCCGCACATTCTTTTTATTTTTAACATGTTTTTGGGTAATTTCACATTGATTAAAAAAAAATCGTCGATTTTCTTGAATTTTTCCCAAGTTTTTTAATATTTCTTTTGAAAAAAAAGAACGTTTTTAAGTTTTAACCTGTAAACTTGTAACACTTCGTCCTTAATTTCATTTTACAAACTTTTTAAACTTTAAATTTATAAATTAGTAACTAATAATCTGATTTCGACTTTGATACGTGATTTTTTTTAACAAAACACAAAGAAATATTAAGAAACTTGTTTGTAAAATGGATAAGATGAGAGATGTTAATCTATTTGTAGAGTCTCTGAAGATAGCCAAGGGCCGAAACTGGTTAGACTTAAATTCTATGTAAAATAAAACCACTTTAATTGTACAAAATCGAACTCTAGATTATTTTGGACAGGCACCAAACAATTTTCAATAGTTTGAGCCTATCTATTTTGAGAAGTCTTATATTTTTAGAGAGTTGTAAACGAAAATCCCCTTTTTCTCAATATTATTCATTTGTCGCTTAGTAAAGTGATCATAACGCGGTCCACTTAATTGCACTATGACGTCATAATAGTGCCAAGTCGTGCAAAGTAAAGAAGACCCAAAGAACAAAGCTAACGATTTAAATGATTTTAAAAACCACATTTTAGGTAAACGTTTTGCCCANAACTTTTTAAACTTTAATTTTGTAAATTAGTAATTAATAATCTGATTTCGACTTTGATATATGATCTTTTTTAACAAAACAAAAAGAAATATTAAGAAACTTGTTTATAAAATGGATAAGATGAGAGATGTTAATCTATTTGTAGAGTCTCTGAAGATAGCCAAGGGCCGAAACTGGTTAGACTTACCAGTTTAAAAGTACAAAATCTGTCTCTATTTTTAGTGATTAAATCAGTGTTCGAGTTGTTTGAGCCTATCTATTTTGAGAAGTCTTATATTTTTAGAGAGTTGTAAACGAAAATCCCCTTTTTCTCAAAATTATTCATTTGTCGCTTAGTAAAGTGATCATAACGCGGTCCACTTAATTGCACTATGACGTCATACTAGTGCCAAGTCGTGCAAAGTAAAGAAGACCCAAAGAACAAAGCTAATGATTTAAATGATTTTAAAAACCACATTTTAGGTAAACGTTTTGCCCATTCCTTTGCATTAACAGCTCATAAACGAACTCACACAGGTGAACGTCCATATATTTGCTCAATTTGCGGCGCGGGATTCGCTACATCATCTTATTTAAAAATTCACATCAGAACTCACACTCAAGAACGGCCGTACGTTTGTGAATCATGTCCCAAAGTACCAAGTTTTCTTAATTTAATCAATTTATATCCTCATTATTTGTTGTGTTTTAGGCTTTTGTAAGTAAATGCGCGTTGGTTGCGCATAATCTTACTCACACCGGCGAAAAGAAATATAAATGTTACATTTGTGGTAAACGAACTGGAAGAGCTGCTGATTTAACTATTCATATGCGATCTCACACCGGCGAGAAACCATACGTTTGTGATAAATGTCCAAAATCGTATCACACCTCCAGCAATTTAGCGGCGCATAAAAAAACACATCTAGGAATAAAAGATCATATTTGTTCAATATGTCAAAAAGCTTTCGGTGATTCTAGAACTTTAAAATGCCACATGCGAACTCATACGGGTGAAAAACCGTATGTTTGCCAAATTTGTGGGAGTCGATACACGCAATCTGGACAATTAGCAGTTCATAGGAAAACTCATCAACCGAAATCAAATTAAAATGTTTTTCAGTATTTCATCCAGTGATTTTTTTTGTGATATAATAAACTAAATATAAAAAATGTAACGTAAAAATAAATAATTTTAAGTTTAGATTTTAATTAATTTATTATTTTTTATATATAAAAAAATCGTTACAACACACGATTATTTAAAACTTTGACGACATAAAGATTTTGGTAACTAATGATTAAGTTTTATTCCGTATCCTTTTTAAATACATCACTGACACGTACACAGGACATCAAAAACTATTTAAGTTAACTATGTAAGATGTGGTTAGTAAAAATTAGGATGAGCTATTAAGAAAGAACTAAAAATCGCTTATCGGGCAGTGGAGATTTTAAAATTAGTAATTTGAGCTCAATAAATTAATATAGATATTTCAAAAAGATGTTAAAATAATAATTTTGAAAATTTCTTTGTAATAAGTAATCTATTCTTCGATTAAAATGTCAATTGAGAGGATGATTTAACTGCAAAAGTACGAAAAAAGACAAGGAAGTTGTAAATTAAATAAAAAGACAACAATAAACAGTTTTAATTAAATGTTGTTTTAACATCTTTTTGAACACCTCATACGTCTAATACAAGACATATTTAGTAATGATTGCGTAAAATATCGAGCTATCAATTTACTAAGTTAATAAGAATGAATATTTTAAAAGAAAAACGTCATTAAGATCTACACTTACTTTATCTAAATAAAGTGATTGATTTTCGACTAATCACAGGACGTTATCAAACCAATACTTGATTGAGCAGTAATAACACTTTTTTTTTCTTTCAAAAATAAGAAAGTAATAAAAGTAAATGCGTAAAATTCACCAAGAATTTATAAAAATAAATGATTTATAAATAAAATGAAATTAAAATGAGTATTTGTACAGCAGCCAATCACAGAAAAGTTTCTTTTGATATAAAAATTACTCACAAAAAAAGTCTTTGGCAAAAAAATAATAATTATAAAACAATTCCAAACCGTTTCAAATCTTTCATAATTGACAAAGGTCTTGACGGCCAATTTTGTATGCTTTTAAGCGTAACGGAGTCGTTTTGAATTTTCTCCAATTCAATTATATACGGATATAATCTTTGTTCAATCCATTCGGCTATAGTATAATTATCAAAAATTCCTAACATACTATCTACGGCGGATTTAGCTACGGAAATCATAGAGTGATAAACTCTAGGTAATCCCCCCGTTAATTCATCCACCCGTAAAGGTAAACTGTAATTTCTACGAACGTTATAAGCGGTTAACCAACCTTTTTGTCGCGTTGTAATTTGGACGTATTCAATAACTTCAGTTTCGATCATATGAACGCGATACATTAATCGAAAAACTGGACTTCCTGGAAACATACATCGACCAAGTTTTTCCCACAAATGTGGATCCGAATCTAAATTAATAAATTGTATATTTCTAGAATTACCTTGTGGGCAACTCAACGAAGATAACAACTTCGTTTTAAGCGATAAGTTAAAAAATCCGTTTGTAACCGTGATCAAATTTAAAGCTAACGATGGAATAGAAGCGGGTAAAATTTCACATAAAACGGCGAAATGATCGTACCTTTGCCACCCGGTTAAAACGATTCCGTTAAATCCCAACTTAAATAATTTACCTTGTTGCGCCATCACCTCCATCCATCGTAAATTGTTTTCGAGATGTCTTCGCGCTTCCGGAACGTATAAAGTTTCACCGAAAGCACCTTTAAAAGCAGAGGCGGTCCAAGCCGTTTTAAAAACGATCGCGTATTTCTCCCAAATTTGCGGCGCTACAAAGTGGTAAATATCTTCCGCGTAAACCCAAACCATCGGTTCTATTAAATCGCCTAGTTTCATTTCAATCATTGCCTGTTGACTTAAATGTCGTAACATATCATCCCAAATTATTAATTGTAAGTTGGGGTATTTTTGGTGAATAGAGGTCGATATTTTTTTTATGTGATTTAAAAAGAGATTTTCGTGGAGTTGTGATCTACAAATTTCACATTCACCCATTTGAAATACTTCGTCACAACCGATGTGTAAATAATCAGAATTTGGATGTAGTTCCATAACCTATATTTAAAATAATAAGGTACAATTCAGAAGTTAATAGAGAATCGATAATTTTTCAAGTAAGCCGTTACAAATAAAAAAAGGGCAGAAAAGTATAAAACTTACCGAAAAATGACTTTAAAGTTTCGACGTGACGTCACTTTTTGTGGTTGAGTTAAACCCGATACTTTCTAGGTCTAGTGTTAGTTCTAGTTATACACTAACACTATCACTAGAACTAGCAGAAGACCCAGAACTAGAATCATTTGGGTTTAGCTGTTTTGAAAAACCTGCGGCTAAATCGGAATGTTTCTAGCTCTAGGTCTAGTGTTAGTTCTAGTGACAGTGGTAAGTAGCGCTAATTAGCATAAGATATTACTATGTTGCATTTTTTATTGCACTAAAACTAGAACTAACACTAGACCTAGAACTAGAAACATTCTGGTTTAGCCGTCTTGAGAGACGTGGGGCTAAACCCGAATGTTTCTAGTTTTCGGTCTAGTGTTAGTTCTAGTTTTACACTATTCTATTCTATTTTGTTCTAGGTCTTAAGAACTAGAAACATTCGAGTTTAGCCCCACGTCTCTCAAGACGGCTAAACCCGAATGATTCTAGTTCTAGGTCTTGTGTTAGTTCTAGTGATAAAGCTAGTGTAAAACTGCAAACTAATACAAGACCTACAACTAGAAACATTCGGGTTTAGCCGCACGTCTCTCAAGACGGCTAAACGCGAATGATTCTAGTTCTAGGTCTTGTGTTAGTTCTAGTGATAGTATTAGTGTAAAACTAGAACTAACACTAGACCTAGAACTAGAAAGTATCAGGTTTAGCAGTGCGTCCTCAGGTCTAGTGTTAGTTCTAGTTTTACACTATCACTAGAACTAACACAAGACCTAGAACTAGAAACATTCGGATTTAGCTGCTCGTATCTCAAGACGGCTAAACCCGAATGATTCTATTTCTAGGTTTTGTGTTAGTTCTAGTGGTAGATGGCGCTAGTTAGCATAAGATATTACTATGTTGTGTATTTTTATTGAACTAAAACTAGAACTAACACTAGACCTCTAGTTTTTAGTGTTAGTTTTAGACTAGCATTAATACTAGAACTAACCCAAGACCTAGAATTGGAATCATTCGGATTTAGCCGTCTTGAGAGACGTGGGGCTAAATCCGAATGTTTCTAGTTTGCGGTTTAGTATATAATTTAAGTTTATTGCTACCAAATCAGCAATACATTCCACAGACAATTAAATTTTAACCATACTACAATTACATATATTACATTACAATACAATACATTTTATTTCCTATCCTACCCCTCCCCATCTCCTCCCCGCATCTCCCTACGCTGCCTAGTCGCCACCACCTCCCTCATCCATTCTCTTCCCTCTGCCCCCTCCCCCAGCACCTGCTTCCAGCCGATCACCTCCTCTCTTAGCTCGTCACACTCCCTCAGTAGGTGCTCCAACGACTCCCACTCCCCCCCACATAGCCTACAACCCCTCTCATCATCTCTCATCCAATACCTATTCGCTCTCTCCTCATTGCCGCATCTGAATCTTGCCACCATCCTCTTCCCCTCCTCATCCCCCTCCACCGACAGGTACTTCGGCAATCCCTCCGTTATTATTTCCTCGTACTTAGGGTTGTACCTGCTCTCCCTTATCTGCCCCCTTCTTTCTTGCCTCTGTACATCTCTATCCCTGCTCTCCAGCTCTTTCCACATCTCAATCCCTTCCCTCCTTCTATCATCTACCGCTTTCACTGAGTACCCCACCCTTCTGAAATATTCCTCCCTTCCTCGTTGCCCGTAACCCCCTTTCCCTGCCTTAATCTCTTTCCAGCACTCCCCCAAAATTTTACATTGAGACCTCCCTTCAACCCTCTCCTCAAAACGTACCGCCCTTTTACCCGCCTCCACTCTTAACTTATCAACCTTCACCTCTTCTCTGACTATGTACTCCGGCGTCTCTTTTGCCAACCCCAAAACCCATCTCCAATACCTAGCCTGTACGCCTTCCAACAGCCCTTGCTCTTTCCACCCCCAAAGCTCCGCCCCGTACATCATAACACTTCTAATCAAGCACTCGAATATCATCTTCCTTTTTCCTATATCCCTTCCAAATAATCTCTCTCCCCACCCCCAGACCTGCCCCATCACCTTATTCGCCTTCTTGGCCATTGCCCTCACATGCGCGCCTTCCTTGTTGTCCTCTCTAAATCTGTACCCCAAATATGTGTACTCCCTCACCTCCTCTATCTCCTTCCCTTCCCACCTCCA